ACTGCAGCTTAGGTCTGCTCCCTGCTGGTAAGTGGACATCCCCCGAGGGCTGCCGGGCTGCCAGAGGGATGTCTGACTGCCAGCTTGGGCCCGATCCCCCAGGGAGCGGGCCTAAGCCAGCAGGTGGACATCCTCCGAGGGGTCCCAGACTGCAAGAGGGCATAGGCCGGGCTGAGGAACCCCCCCATCCCCGAGTGCACAAATTTTTGTGCACTGGGCTTCTAGTTTAAGTATATTTAAATATTTATCCAAAGAAGACATGCAAATGGCCAACAAGTACACACACAATTTCACTAATCATCAGGGAATGCAAATCAAAAATATAATGATATATCAACCTACACCTGTTATGATGACTATTATCAAAAAGAGAAGAGACAGCAACTGCTGGTTGTGAAGAAAAGGAAATCCCTGTACACTGTTGGTGACATGTTCACTGTGCATTGGTACAGCTACCATGGAAAAGAGTATGGAGGTTCCTCAATAAATTAAAAATAGTTTTTGGCAATGGGTTTACCATCAGAACCCAGTTTTCATGAAAACCACTGCTAAGTCTAAGACAAAATGGATAAGGAAAAAACTCATATCAATATCATTGTCACTGGACACATAGATTCGACCTCTATAGTCATCTAATCTACAAAGGAGGTGGGATTGACAAAGAAACCATCGAAAATTTTGAGGAGTCTGATCAGATGGGAAGTCTTCCGACCTCAAGTATTCATGTATTTTGGGTAAACTGAAAGCTATAATTGAGCATGGTTTTACCATTGCTATCTCCCCGTGGAAATTCAAGGCTGGCCAGTATTATGTGACCAGCACTGATGTACCAAAACTCAGAGATTAAAAAAACAAACAAACAAAGAAAAACATGATTACAAGCACACCTCATGCTAATTGTGCTGTCCTGATTGTTGCTGCTGGTGTTGGTGAACCTGAAGCAGGTATCTTAAAGAATGGGCAGATATACCCTTATAACTTATGCACTGGGTGGAAAAAAACTGCTGATCCTATATAATAAAAGGCCAATATGCAAATCGATCGAATGGTGGAACGACCGGTCGCTATGATGAGCACTGATCACCAGGGGGCAGACGCTCAACACAGGAGCTGCCCCCTGGTGGTCAGTGCACTCTCACAGGGGGAGCACCGCTCAGCCAGAAGCCCTGAGCCAGGCTCACAGCTGTTGAGTGCAGCGGCATTGGCAGGAGCTTCTCCCGTCTCCACAGAAGCGCTAAGGATGTCTGACTGCCAGCTTAGGCCCGCTTCCCAGGCCTAAGCCAGCAGTCGGACATCCCCCGAGGGCTCCTGGACTGCAAGAGGGCACAGTCCAGGCTGAGGGTCCCCCCCTCAAGTGCATGAATTTCATGCACCAGGCCTCTAGTGTTAAAATAAAAGGATTCCACTGAACCAGCCTACAACCAGAAGAGATATAAGGACATTGTTAAGGAAATCCCAGTTACATTAATAAAATATAACAGTGGTACAGCAGCACTTATGTCAATTCCTGGTTGAAATGATAACAACATATTGGAGTCAAGGGCTAACATGATGTAATGCAAGGAATGGAAAATAACCTATAAAGATGGCAATATTAGTGGTACCACAATGCTTGAAGCTCTGGATTGCATCCTGCAACCAACTCATCCAACTGACAAGCCCTTAGACCAGTGGTTCTCAACCTTCTGGCCCTTTAAATACAGTTCCTCATGTTGTGACCCAACCATAAAATTATTTTCGTTGCTACTTCATATCTGTAATGTTGCTACTGTTATGAATCGTAATGTAAATATCTGATATGCAGGATGGTCTTAGGCGACCCCTGTGAAAGGGTCGTTCGACCGCCAAAGGGGTCGCGACCCACAGGTTCAGAAAAGCTGCCTTAGACTGGTTTTCTCAAATCCAGCTTGGTAGTCACCTTTGTACCTGTCAACATTACAACTGAAGCTTTGAGTGAAGCTCTTCCTAAGAACAATGTGGGTTTCAATGTCAAGAACTCGTCTGTCAAAGATATTCACTGAGGCAACATGGCTGTTGACAGCAAAATACCCCACCAATGGAAGCAGCTGGCTGCATGGCTCAGGTGATTATCCAAAGTCCTTCAGCCCAAATCAGTGCACATGTGCGGCATTGTCACACAGCTCATATTGTTTTCAAATGTGCTAAGCCAGTGGTTCTCAACCTTAGCTGCACATTACAATCACCTGGGAATCTTCTTAAAATCCTGATTTCTGGGCCTCATCCTCCGGAAATTCTGTTTTTTTGTTATGGGGTGGGGCCACAACATTAGTAACAAAGAAACAGAATTTCCGGAGGATGAGGCCCAGAAATCAGGATTTTAAAAAGATTCCCAGGTGATTCTAATGTGCAGCCAAGGTTGAGAACCACTGTGCTAAGCTAAAGAAAAGATTAATCATCATATTATGAAAAGAAGCTGGAAGAAAATCTTGAAATCTGGTGATACTGCAATCACTGATATGGTTTTAGAAAGCCTATGGGTGTTGAAAGCTTCTCTGACTATCCTCTTCTTGGTTGTTTTGCTCTTTGCAATATTAGACAGATAGCTCCTGGAGGTGTCATCAAAGCAGTGGACTAGAAGGCAGCTGGAGTTGACAAAGTCACTAAGTCTGCTCAGAAAGCTCAGGAGGCTACATGGGTATTATCCCTAATATCTGCCACCCCAGTCTTAATCACTGGTGAAAAAACAATATCAGAAGTGATTGTCTCATCTGGCCCTGATAACAATGCTTGGTTTGTAAAACCTTCAAACAGAAAGAAGAATATTTTGTGGACCATTTGTTTTGTGTGTGTTTTTGTGTGTGTGGTAGTTTTAAGTTAGTAATTTCGAAGATCAGTACTTTTTAATGGAAACCACTTGACCAAAAATTTGTCACAAACTTTTGAGACCAATTAAAACAGAGTTTAATGAGAAAAATATTAAAAACAGAACTTTTATATGATCCAACAATCCCACTTTTGGCTATATATCCAAAGGAAACAAAATTATTACCTTCAAGAAATTTATGTACTCCCATGTTAACTTCAGCATTATTCATAGTAGCCAAGATAAGGAAACAACCTAAGTTAGATCATGGATGAATGAATAAAGAAAATGTGACATATATATAAGGGAATATTATTCAGCCTTAAAAAACAACAAAAATGAAATCCTGCCATTTGTGACAACAAAGATAAACCTGTAGGACATTACGCTAAGAAATAAGACAAACACAAATATTGTGTGGTATTAAAAAAAAAAAAAATCCCGGGGAACCAAGATGTCGGCATAGGTAAAGGCCTGTACTTGCTGTCTCCCACAACCACAACAAAATTACAACTAAAATACAAAACAAATATCATCCAGAACTGTTTCAGTTTTGAAAATACCATAAGCTTAAACACACACACACACACACACACACACACACAAACAGGCTGGTTGAATTTTTATATAGGACTTGTTATTCCTCAAAAACTGCAGAAGTTTCCTGTTCTCTGCTGGAACTTGCACCATGCTCACCAGGTTTCTGTTTTGAGGTATATCCTGAGCAGGCATTGGAGGAATTTCCAAGATTGTTAAAATAACTTTTTATACACACTACATCAGTTTCTATACTTGAGTTCAATGTGCCATTTAGATTTGCTTCAACCAGCACTTGATTACCCATGTTTACCATCCTTTCTACAATGTTCTTCAGTCTTCAAAGCTGGCAGATAACAAAAAAACAAAAAACAAAAAAAAATCACAGGAATGATCTCTAGGCTCTGGTAAATCTTCCTGGACCCTTCTGGAAAGCACCCTTCCAAGCAGATCCTACCTGTGGGCAACAGCAACTCCACAGCCACCATGAGGCCGGGACAACAGCCTACTGGTTGGCTGGAGCTTCAGGGCAGAAGCATTCCCAGTGCTTTTCACTGCTCTAAACAAATGCTCAATTACCAGCTCTAGATAAATCTCATTAAATTCTTTTGAAACACCTTCCATGAGAAACCAGTGGAAGAAGTCTTCCCACCTCACTTTGTGCCTCCTGAATGACCCTGGAGTTAGTGGTCCCAAAGCACAGCTTGTCCTGGCACACAGAAAGCACAGACATTTGCCAGCTTTGATATGGTGCAGATGATGTGTACAGAGAGTTCCATAAAGTCCTTACCGTCAATCAATCTTGGCATAAAACTTCACGATGCTGTGAGGGTGGCAGCCAAAGCACAGTTAGAGGGGGACCCCAAGTGCCACAGGCCCTTCAGGCCCAGGTATCACCCCTCCATATTGCACCCAGTAGAGACAACACTGGGTTTTGCCAGTCTGGAGGCCTCCTGACAAAGGCTACAGTGATTGCGGTCTGGGACCTCTAAAAACACTACCTCCATTTCCATGCTCCACTTTCCTCCACCTCCTTGCCTAAAAAGAGCTTCATTGTTTCCACTGATGATAAAAACAATAGGCATTACATCACAGAAACTTCTAAATATTTTAAACTGTATTAAGAAAAATACATCACTCAGATAACCACTTTTCACCTCATTGGTATATACACTAATACTGTCTCCATCAATCAGGAGGTATATGTAGATACTAGAGGCCCAATGCATGAAATTCATGCAAGGGGCTCAGCCCTCGCAGCCATGGCGGCTGCCTCAGCCCTCACAGCCCCGGTTTCGTCCAGAAGGTCGTTTGGCTGTCTGGTCTAATTAGCATATTATGCTTTTATTATTATAGATAGCTACATCCCTCAGGGGATGTCGGACTGCCAGTTTCAGCCCAATCCCTGAAGGCCAGGCTGAGGGACGCCACTGTTGCACGAATCCCTGCACCAGGCCTCTAGTATGCATATAAGATCTTTGGTTAATCTTTTCCTGCCCTCCCCTCTCCGCTTCCCTCTGCGGTTCATCAGTCTGTTCCATGTTTCCATGCCTGTGAGTTGAGTGTCTGCCCCCTGGTGGTCAGTGTGCATCATATATACTGGTTGAACGAACGGTCGAAAGGTCACTTTGGCTTTTATATATATAGACTACAAGCCCAGCGTGCAACATCGTGTAGCCCCGCCCACCCGTGCAGCCTCACCATGCTCGCAGTCCCGCCCATCCACGCCCGACCTTTGGTGCTCACAGCCCCACCCACCCGTGCCAGTCTTTGGTTGTTACAGCATTAGGGCCACAGGCCTTTTATAATATAAATGTGCTTTACAAAATTGTTGCATGCTAACTAAATATTTTGCAACCTAATTTTCATACATAAACTATATCATGGACATTTTTCCATGTTGGTAAATACAAATCTACATCATTTCAAGCTGCTTTGTGTTCCATTGCATGGATGTATAATCGATGACATTAAGTAATTTCAAAAATTTTTACTGTTAGGAACATGACAATGAAAATTTTTCTAGAAAATATTTGTGCACATTTACGCAGTTATTTCCTTGCATTACATTCAAAGAGAAATTGCTGGTCAAAGGATGTATATTTAAGGTCCTAATATATATTACCACACTAGCCTGCATAATTTCACCAGGTCATAAAAATCAGTTTATAATGTGTAAAGCAATCTGATAAGCAAAAGAAAATAAATGGTTTCAATTTGCATTGTGTGTGAACCATTTTCACTACCTTTGCATCTTTTTATCACATTTTTCTCTTGATTTTTGGATTTCTTACCAGAGAACATTAATTCTCTGTCCATTATATACTCTGTCAATAACTTCCCAGTTTGTTGTCTTTTCGCACTGTTTATGGTTCTCTTTGCCCTTAGGAAATTTTGAGTGTCTTTTTTAATTAAAAAAAAGGGGGGGGGTGATGTTGCCCTAGCTGGTTTGACTCAGTGGATAGAGCATCAACCTGCAGACTAAAGGGTCCCAGGTTTGATTCTAGTCAAGGGCACATACCTGGGTTGCGGGCTTTATTCCCAGTAGGGGCCGTGCAGGAGGCAGTCAATCAATGATTCTCTCTCATCACTGATGTTTCATCTCTCTTTCCCTCTCCCTTCCTTTCTATAAAGATATATTTTTTAAAATGGGGAGGCGTTTTATTGATTTTGGAGAGAGAAGGAGGGAGAGGGGAAGATAGAAACGTTGATTGGTTGCCTCCTGCATGCCCACTATTGGGGATTGAGCCTGAAAGAAATAAGGTGAGCCCCCAAATTCATGGGTCCTGGTAGAACACAAAACATACCCGGGAGGCAGGCAGCAAGGCAAATATCTTTACTCCTGCAGGAGGGTGCACAGTACATGATCTGGAAGCACACACACACTGAGCAGGGGGTCTGCTCGGCTTTTTAATCCTAAAGCACATGATCTGCCCCTCACTCTTGATTAGAGCTCAGGCACACAGTCTTTTGTGATTGGCTAATTCAAAGGAATGGGTTGGCCTTTGCCATTTCAAGATGGCGGCTCCCAGGGGAACTGCAAGTCATGTGGCCAAAATGGCGGCTGTCTAAACTGTTCTTTGACAGAAAGGATGACTTGTTTATTCTCACAAGCCCACATGGGCATGTGGTGCCCTGACTGGGAATCAAACCAGCAACCTCCTGGTGCATGGGATGATGCTCAACCAACTGAGCCACACTGGCCAGGCAATTTTGAGTCTTTTAATGTTAAAAATATTGGCCTTGACTGGCTGGTGTGGCTCAGTGGTTGAGCATCGACCTATGAACCAGGAGGTCACAGTTTGATTCCCAGTCAGGGCATGTGCCCGGGTTGTGGGCTCGATCCCCGGTGGGGGACATGCAGGAAGCAACCGATCAATGATTCTCTCATTGATGTTTCTATCACTCCCTCTCCCTTCCTCTCTGAAATCGATAAAAACATATTTTAAAAATATTGGCCTTTCTCCTCTAGTTCTAGAGTCATGCTTTCAAAGTCATGTCCATGGTACTTTAATACATGCCATCTGTTTTATCTAATTATTAAACTGATTTGAAATTTATTTTGGAGTACTGAATAGCTACTTGACCATAATACCATTTCACTGACCAATCAATCCACTGTTCACTGATCTGTATAGCCACTTATCACTGACAAATATTCTCTGCTTCTGGACAATCTATGTTTTATCCCACTAATCTATTTTGTAAATATAACATAATGATTTAATTTCCATTTTATAACTAAATATCTCACAAGACAATCAATCTTCAACAAGTTCTCTTAGTATAGATGGCACAAATGAACTTTAAAATATTTTGCCAGGTTCTATAATCAATTATACTAGAATTTGGATGGGAGTTATTATCACCAACCTAACAATACTATACTTCTTTTTCTACCTCAATTAACTATACTATAAGTTCCAGGAGACAGGATTTTTTGTGTGTTCCATACATTGTTGTATAGCTAGCATCTAGAACAGTACCTGTATTAATTGCATTGAATTTACTGGTAATTTAAGGACATTTAAAGTATCTACAACTTGGGAGACTTCCAGTCAAGATGGCATAATAGGTAAATACTGTGCTTACCTCCTCCTACAGCCATTTCAAAATTACAACTAAATAATAAAACAACCATAATTGACAAACACTGGAAGATTAGCTGAACAGAATATAACTAAGGATATAAAGAAAAAGCCATGTGGAGACTGGTAGGAGGAGCAGAAATGCAAAACAAGCAGGTACCACACCAAAGGTGTGGCAATTAAGAATAGGCAGCTGCAGGTACCTCTGAGGAGAGAGGGGTCCCAACCCCACACTAAGCTCCACAATATGGGGCATCAGTGCTGGGAGGAGTTCCTATAGCATCTGGCTATGAAAAACAGAGAGAATTTCATCAGAGTGAGACAAAGGGCTGCTGGAGACTCAGGAATTCCTCTTGAGGGGCTCATACATAGACTTGCCCATTCATAAACTCACTCACTCTAGGCTCAAGTGCAGGAGAAGCAGCTTGAAAAACACCAGGGACATACAGGAAGGAACTAAATTGAGTAGCTTCAGGGTGAGAGCTGGAGGCGTAGGGGTAGGGCAGTGCTCTCCTGGACAGAAGTGTTGACAGGCGTCATTGTTCCTCTGTTGAGCTCTCCTTCTACCCAATAGCCTGATGCAGGTGGGTGCCAAATCAGAGCTCACCATTAACCTGACTAACACCATTTGTTCCACCCTGGTAATTCCCAAACCCTGCTCCACCCAACTTGCATGGATTGCTGAAATTCTTGTAAGTGGCTTTTCCAAACAAGTAGCCTACCTAAGTTCTGGCTGTGGAATTTCCTAAAATCTCTCAAAGGGGCACAAACCATAAAGAAGCAGCAACTAACCGCACCATGCCCTGTACATCTTGATAAGAAGCCCCAAACCCAGACAATTCAGCAACCAGTCTCAACATGCATTATCATTCCCATCCGGTATTCCCAAATCACGGCAGTCTTGGTTTGGAACATAGCTTAAACTAAGTGGGCCCAAGCCCAACACAAGTGGTGACTGGCCTCAGGTCACACTGTTGCCCACCAAAAGATCCCAACCTTGGCAGGCACCCTCAATCACAGAATAGCCTCTCCCAAGCACATCCAAGGTCAGTAAATGTGGCAACCAACCGCAAATCACTTTTTACTTCCTATAAGACAGGTCCTAATTGGGCACAAACAGCAACTGCCAACACACCCAGAGGCCAGCTTCAGATGACATCAGAGCAACAGCTAACCAAGTCCACACAACACACCCAAAGGGAAGACTCACCTGGCACAAGAGCCATGCTAAATTGTCTTCCACTATGAAAGGGTCAGCCCCCACACACAGACTGCCTACTAGTAATGGCCAGCACTCACAACCAGTCAGCCTGAGGGTCAACCTCACCTACTAATGTGCCAAAAGCAATCAAGGCACAACTACAACAGGACACGCACAATCCACACAAGGGAGCACTAGCTTAGGTGACTAGAGAGACTACACCACTGAGCCCCACAGGACACCTACTACATAAGGCCACTCTGCCAAGATTGGGAGACATAGCAGATCTACCTAACATAGAAACAGCACAGGGGGTCAGCCCAAATGAGGAGACATGCCTCAAATGGAAAAAAAAAAAACTGGGCAAAACTGCAGAAGAATAACTAAATGAAATGGAGACAAGCAACCAGATACAGAGTAAAACCCCTGGTTAAAAGGCAGCTCAATAAACTTAAGGGAAGAATAGATAAACTCAGAGATAGAAAGACAT